TTTAACATTATTTCAAGTCGACTGGAATAAGCACTGCAGATGCTATCAGATGTCGATCGTTGTACTTTTCATTAGTTCTGCCAAATCGTAGAAAATCTTGCTTAAAAAAGTGAGAGAAAGAAGAAATGATTGTTAATGAATAATAAATTTAAAAAAAATAACATAATATTGTTTTCAAAATAAATTTCAAAAAAAGGTGATTTTTTTCTAAACACAAATAATAAATTGATTAATCAGAATATGAGAAAATTGATTTCTTTTTTTATATCTTTAATTTAGTTAATAAATTTTTGTTATAGTTCTGCCGAATCGTAGAAAATCTTGCTTAAATTTTTTTTCTCCAATAAAATATAAATTGTTTATATTTGTGGAAAATTCTATGTTATCAGTTAAATAATAACAATACTGAATAAAGAAATAAACGAGGAAATATGCAACAAACAAATGTATATATAGCTGTTTGCTATTAATTGTATTTAAATTCAAACAATCAGAATTAATTTAATTCCAGAATTTGGAAAATAAGCAATGAATTAAGAGAAAACTGACAACAATTAATATTTCAATTTATTCCATTAAATCAAAGTTACAAGAAAATCAAAAAAGTTTCTGTTCGAATCTGTCTTTACCATATATTTTAGCAATTCAAATTTAGCCAAATTTAAACACATTAGTAATTAAGAGCATTGCTTTTGCCCAATAATTAATCACCTTTCTTGTTATATCTGTAATTTTTACCAGTCTATAATTCAAGTAAGAGATGAATTTCAAATTCATTTAAAAATAACTCACTCTGCCTGTGTTAGCTCGAATGATGCTTTCCAGTGCAGCTTTACGTGAACGAAACAGCGCACCACGTAATGTCACTGATGTTGTAATCATCAAGAAAAAAACTTAAAATTTTAGAAAACTAAAACATCAGAATAATAAAATGGTAATTACATTTGACATATAGCAAAAATGATAGTTTGTAAATTAAAAAAATTTCACTATTTTGCATTGTTATATCTCTAACATAATGCATCGTAAAAATCTAATTAAAATTTTAAAATGTAATTCATTTACTAATATTTATACCAAAGTTAGATAACCATATCTATCATTGATTTAAATTTAATTACATAAGCTACTAGTAGCATTCAATTTTACCTATTTTTCCAATTTTTTTTAGAAAAAAGAAAAAACTTACGAATGAATGAAAGCGAAAATTTCATAGCTAAAATTAAAATGAAATGAACAGAAAATATTAAGTACAGGAAGAGATGCCTTTATATATGATTCAAATTTTCTAATAAATTTTGCCAATAAATTCCAATCTTCCTTTATTATCTAACCTAATTTTTCAATAAATTATTCAAATTGTTCACATTATTTCAGGTATTATTAGAAATTTGATAATTTATATGGGAGCAAATGTGATATATTAAAATATTACAGCAGTTGCACTTTTTGAAAAACAAAAAAAAAAAAAAAAAAAAAAGGAAAAAAAGAAATAGAAAGAAAGAATATTCACATTTTTTGCTTTTTGAATAAGATAAAATTGTAGAATAATCTGATATCATTCATCATTTTTAATCATTTCATTTTTTAATATATAAATGAAAAAGAAAAATAAAAAAATATTATCACTTATACAACTTTTCGATTAAAAAAGAAGAAAAAAATTGACTAATTAATAATTCCAAATATCAAGAAAGGAATAGCAGAAAATTGCACAAAAATGATTGCAAATTTAATTGTATTTGATTTTGTGAATTTAAAGTGATAATTCAGATATTTGCTACAATTGTAACAAATATGCCGTGAATCTATAAAGAAATGTTACAGTCTAAATAAAAACACCGAGAAAAGGCTAATAATTGATTTCATATTTGATTGAAATTAATGCTTTCCATCATTAATTAAGCATAATATGTTGAAATTATGATGTATAAATATATATATATATATATAAGAGAGTAAAAAGGATAGAAAATGGATGATTCATTATCAGTTTAGATAAATAATAATTAATATGCAAAAATATGCATTATGCATTTCTGATACAATCACAACTTTATACTTTAAAAAAAAAATGAAAAAAAAAAGTGAAAAAACAACTGAATCTTTATGAGAATTTGTTAATATTAAACTCTTTATTCTGCAAATATAACAAAAAAGAAAAAAAATATTTAAATTTTATTCGTTCTCATTTCTCACTTGGAAGAATATCAAATATTTCATTTCATTCCTTCTCTCTCTCTCTCTCTCTCTCTCCCTCTCTCTCTCCATATATTATCCTACTTGCTTATTTTATTTTTAAATTAAAAGCAGCACGAGAGAGTTGCACAAAAAAGTGAAAGAGAGAGGAGGTAAAAATAAAGTTATTATAATTTCCTTTTAATTTAATTTATTTTTTTAAAAACTCAAAAGAATAAAAGAAAGAAGAAAAGCACTTTTCAGATAAATAAAAAATTTGTTTTTATTTCCTTTCTTTTGTTATGCATCATAAAATTAATTATTAGTCTATTATTATAATAATTTTTCTAAATTGCTGTTATTTTGAATTTAATATTAAAAAAAAAAAAAAAAATGTGCATAAAATAAATTCAAACCATTTTTTTGTTATTTCATCGTTCTCCTTTTCCTTCCTTTCTCTTCTTCTCTCTCATCCTCTCTCTTTACCTTTCTCTCCTTCACTCTTTTATACAGTTTAATGTAATCTACAAGCACATACACACACATACACACACATACACACACACACACACACACACACACACACACACACACACACATATATATATATGCTTGAAACATAGAAAGGAAATTTTGCTGATTTGTTGAAATGATATAAATTTACGATGAAGCTATGAAAGAAATTATTCACTTCAACATATATCTCAACCCAGTCACATTTCAACAAATCAACCGTATTATTATTAGTAGTATTCTTTATTATTTTGTAATTTTGTTTCTTTTTTTTTCACTGATTTAGTTTTAATTATTTGTTTCAAAATTCAGTGCAAGAATTAGGTACTAAATTTAAGTATTTCATTACCTACTTGCATTCACTTTAAGCAAAGCAACCTGTTAACTTAATCAATGATTATCCATTTCATATAATTTATGATGTGAAAACCACCGTATAATAAAATATTATGAATATATATAATATTTTCGATTCTGTCCTTTCATATCAAACTTTTTTTTGCACTGACTTTATGTATGAAATTAAATTTGAAACTGAAAAATTATTTTCTTCCAATATTTCTCAATCAACAATTATTCATTTATACGTTTCCTATTTTCGTTTCATTACAATTTCATTTCCCATCTTTCGTTATAGTATTTATTGTTTAATTCTTCGTTTTTAAAAAGTTTTCTTCAAGTTTTGATGTTATATGAATTAAACGATAAGATTTTTTTTTCTTGATGGAAACCGAAATAACAAATGTCCGGCTACGTTGCTAAACCGTAAATGCTCCTAATGTTTTTAATAATAATCTATGAGTATTTTCGGTTTCGCATCCTAGCAGGAACAAATGGCGGATAATCAAACTCCTCCAATAGTATCTGAAAATCAATTAGCATTATTCATAATCAAATCCTTTCCCTTGCTTATGATTGATATATTTAAGTTAATATTGATCAGTTCGGAAATAAAACAAATGACTGATGGAGCTGTTGTTATTTTAATCAAGAAACATTATTTTATAGATTTGATTAGCTTTTATAAAATATACCGAATCGAATCTTCTCTACCTCATTCCTTGTTACCACCATGGTGATCACAAAAAAAGCTTCATAAGTATTTCTCATTTGGATTTCTTTTCTCCATTAAATTGTGAAATAATACTTCGAATTTCGAACACTGAAAGATAAAATTAATTTCATGCAAAAAAAAAAAATTTATTGATAAGCAAAGTTTGATAAACAGGTGAAGAAATGCATGATACTAATAATGCCTAGGACCCGTCTATAAAAAAAATTCGTCAACATGAACAAACCATGATAGGAAAACAATTCTACTTGAGTAATTAGCGAATGGAAACAAAGTTTTAAACATGATGGAATATTACATTAAGATAAAATGGATGAACTTTCCAGAAATTAATAAAAAGTTAATACATCCTAAAACATTAACTTTAGTTTGCTTAAATACACATGGAATCTCGATAATTTTATATAAAATGATCTCAGCTTCATAACAAACTTTGTGAAATCAAAAAATAACTTTGTAAAAATAATTACTGAATTCAAGTATTATTCAAATTAATCATGTATATACCAACTATTAAAAAAATCCATTGTAAGTACTTTTAATTCAGTACTTTTTCCTGGGATCATCTATTATTAAGGCATTACAACGAGAAGTACTACACATATCCCATGACGTTATAATAATTATGCTAATTAAATTGTCCAACTGATTACTACTTACATGTTGCAGCCTAAAAATTATAAACAACTAATAAGAAAAAAAAAACAGAACAAACGCCTAATAGAATATAAATCAATAAGGAGACAAAGGAATTAATTCGTAATTCCAATTATTTTTCTATTTCAAATTGTCAATTTATTCGATAATAGGGCAGAAATATTATTATTATTGTTGTTGAAAAATTCGTCTAAGAAAATAAGTGACATGAATAAAGGATAAAATCAGATCACAAAGCTATTTTTCGACTACATCAAAACATGTAGTAAGATTGAAAACATGAAGTGATGAATTCTGATAATCAAATAATTAAACAAGTGATTCACTAACAGCTTATAGAACTGCTATATAGTAATATAAACAAGAAAATTAATACTCTGAAAAAGTAAATAATTTGTACAAAAGATTTAACAAACATTAAGTTCTGCTGCAGCATTGATTTTTTCATTAGTCAGACCGGGAAAAGATCACACAGAAAAAAGCTAACAATTAAGAATTTGATCACAATAATTATCGGATAACTATTTCCTTTTTTTCAAAACTAAAATCAAAAAGTCATATAGCATAGGAAATTAAATAATTATTGATCGGCACTTAAACGTTTAAGAATTTCATCGTATCGTCGATTTCTTTCTTCCATGTCCCTGAATGCATCGTCCAGATCATTATTGAAATCTTTCAGTCGCTTCTTCAAGTTTTCCAAATTTTTGCACTGAAATTGCATTAAAATTAATCAGAAACCAAAAAGTCTGATAAAAAGTTTATTAAAAAACAAAATTGAAAGTTTCAAAGCGAAAAATTTCTATTTTTATGTCTACATTTTCCAAGAAACTCTGTTTCAAAAGTCCGGATTTAAGAAAAAAAAAATAAACAACATAATATTAAAGAAAACAAGAATCACAAGAAATCCTACATACGTTTTTTAATGAAATTTTTGGTGAAAAATTATGCATTTGACTACTCTTAACTAATGAAAGAAAGGAATTTAATCAGTAATAAGGACATCAAACTGAAAATGGAATTCAAACAGAGAGGACTGGCTGAAAAGTGTTACTCACAATGCAAGCACACATGTCATGATACATCCCACGTTTCGGAGTATAAACTTACTTCTCTTTTTGCTGGAAGACAATATCCCTCATTTTGCACGTTGAACTCATTATTCTTCTTATAATACTGTTGTTGACTTGGATTGTACGTTAGACTATTTAAACTTTCATTGCATTCAAGATTGTTCTTATTCGTCATCCATCTCTCTGTGCAATCAGTACGTTGAATATTTCGTTCCGCTATTTCTACTCCTGAGAAAAAAAGAAACAATCCATATATATCTGAGAAAGTCTGCATCATACAGTTATATGAGTCTCGATTTTTAAGAAATGAGGACAAAATAGGAAGGTGAGAGAGAGGGAAAGATAAAGGGGAATATGTTGCAGTTATTTTTCACTTCGAACTTCATGAAAACTTGAATGTAGAACAAAAAAAAAAAACTAGCACTCAGATGTTCTTTTAAAATTCAACCTTTTTCAAGTGTTTGTTCATCGAAAAAATTCAGCAATACTGATGAACGTTCAGCTAATGATTCATACCAAGACACTTGGCGCTTATCCTCCAAATCTAAAATTTAAATTTCAAAAAAAAAAAAAAAAAAACTGGACATTTTTTAATTCTCTATTTTTATATAATTTTATAATTAAAAAATATTAACAAAATTTTGGAAGAATACTATTTTTTTTCCTTTGTATAACTTAACATCCCACACTTTCATAAATCATAACAAGAGAAAGCTTTGTAATTAAATATGTTTTAAATTCCTTTACAATTTTTATCATTAAACATGAGGTGCATAAAAAAGTATGAATCTGATTTTTTAAACTACGAAATAATTTATGAAAGATTACTCTTCCATGAACAAACTTCATTCTCACTTTAAAATAGTTGTCAATACTAATTATTATCATCGCTACCGCTATAAGTAACGTTATTTTTTACCACTGTAATAATTAATACTTGTGTAATACTTTCTATTGTAGTAATTAGTAATTAATATTTGATCGTTACAAGTATTTGTGATTCAGTATATAAATCACAAGTCTCTAGAAAATCGCTCTTGCGAAATCGATTCAAATATGAATGTGATTTGCTCTTGTTTAAATTAATAAAAAGTATTCGAAATCAATCAATTAAAGCACTTAACATTTTTACACTCTATGAAACAAATAGATATTTTTGTGAAATAAAAACCATTGCGAATTTGATTCATTGCCCAAAACGGTTTCAATCGTTCGCATTCCATATCAGCAAGTGCTGCAGCTAAACGAATGTCACCATTTTCTTTTGCAATAATATTATTATTGTTAGAATGCAGCCTTTTCCGTTTCAATAGTGAACTCGTGTATGTACTCTGGAAAAAAGTGAATCCTCTTAAATTCAAAGACTTGATAAGAAAAAATCATTTCCACTAGAAAATTTCACTAAAAATGCTCGATTTTATGATAAAATTTAACATATGGCAGTAATAGTTTTGATGAAAAACTAAGGCATAATATTTCAAATGTCAGAAAATTTCCTATTAGTTTAAAACTTACAGTGAAAAACTCCCGCTTTTCAATTTGTAAATGAGTCCATAAACGCCATTTTATTAGTACTTTTCGTGCTAATCTTCCATGTCTTTTTTTAATAAAGGCGTTTATTTTCTGTTCAAAAAGCAGCTGAAATAGGATCTACTTAAGAAGCAAAGTATTTGTTAATCTAATTCTAAATGATTAATTTCTTTTTAATTGTTACTGTATTTGTAAGACGAGAACAGAAAAATTTCCAATGTCCTAAAAATATACTGCCTAAATCACATATATTTAGTAAAAAACTGAGCAACTGAAGAAAAAAGGCAAATGAAAAAATTCTTACAGAACTGCAATCGAGCTGTAATGCCTCATCTAACGAATAGCCGTCTCTTCGACGAAAAATTAACCCAGATTTAGCTGAAATATGTTGGATAAATAAGGATTAAATATAAAATTTATTAGCACTTATCCCTTATAAGTTGATAATTTCTCAAACTCTGAAAAATCAAATACAAATTACCTGGTAATATGACAGGGAATGACCCTAATAATTCCAGCTTCTTCCGCTCCTGTTCTTTTCTGTAAGCTATTTGTTCTCGCCAACGATTTACAAATTGCTTCAGCCATAATCTAAAATTAGTTTAAATGATGCTGTGACGTTGAAATTCGATATGCAGGCCTACTACTTTATTTCCAATAAAACTTACTTATCCAGTCGTTCATTTATATCCTTCAAACGTTGCTTGACGTAGTTCACACCTTCTTCTATTTCTTTTTCTGCTATTTTCCTGACTGTTTTGATTAGCACCCCTGCTAACAAATCGTTCAAGAAGCTTTTTCCAATATCCTCTATAAGTTCTTCGTTATGTACTCGCTGACACTTTCTGAAATATATATTAATAACATTATACGAACGGTTAAAAGCAAAACAAAAATTGGAAAAAATTTATGGAAACATGAATTATTATATGAACTACGTAGCAAAATTTTATTGGAAGCTGCTTAAAAATCAAAAATCTAAAAGTGAAATTTCTTCTGGATTTACACAGCTCATCAACCGATGGGATTTTTAAAAAGAAAAAAAATGAATCTGTAACAGAGTTTCCACCTAATAGGATAAAATAGTTAAAACATACATTATCCATTTCTTACTGATATCCTGAATAAAGGTATCAATAACTTCATCCAAGATTGATTTGTTCAGAGAATCAAGCAATAACCGAATTTCATCCTCTCTTTGTTTCGCAACATCAGCAGCTAATTTGCGACGATGCAATAATTTAGCAACGATCATAACCTCCTGACAGCATGGCCTAAAAATCCCCAAATTAGAACTTCTGGCATACTTGTTTCGATCAAAAAAAATTTAATTCCACTCTGAAATACCAATACTGCAAAGTCAACTAACTTCAAACAATCCTCCAAGATACTATCGTATAATACAGTAGTCAGCAAATGAGCTAATGATTTACTATACACTAGCTTGCATAACCTCGTAACTTCTTCTTCTATGATCTCATCTGATAACTTCTCCGCCAATACACTGATCTGGAAATAGCAATTTTAGAACAAACATAAATTTGGTACATTAATAGGATAAGACTCAAAAAAACGTCAAGCTAAACGATCATTCGTTAGGATCGCATCTTTGGTTATTATATATTGGAGACGTCTTAAATGAATCTAACAGAAGAAACTATTATATCAATTGTCAAAATATCACTCGTTGGAATGTTAGTGGTTAAAACTTCACGAAATTTGTAAACACAAAATAAAAATACTACAAAATGAAAGAAAAAATAAGATGACATACTGCATTATTTTCTCTTTGTGGCAACGTAAATGCGAAAGTTACAGTCTCATCTTCATCCGTCGTTAATCTGCAAATATATATATATATATATATACCAAAAGATATTCTAAGGTTCAAAAAATTCCAACAAACGTATAATCTTGTAAGACCTAAAAATTATGAAAGTCCCTTGAATGAATGTTTCTCATATATGCTTAACTATAATACAAATCTTTTGAAGATTTTATTGGCATCATCATATTTTCCGAAATTGCTTGTCTAGAAGGCTCACCATAAACTAAGTATTAGGAAAGACGACTTCAGTGAAAAAAAAAAGAAAAAAAAAAACTGGTTACCAAAATACAAAGCAAAATGACAAGTTACTCTTATAGCATCAAACAAAATTAAAAGACTTACTGTTCTCCTCCATTTTCGTTAATATAGTTATCGAGAACGACATCAAAGAGGTACGTACCATTTCTGTCGAACGAATTCAATGGAGTAACAATTTCAACTTCAACATCTTGACAACCACTTAATACCTATTAGATACGATTGTTTTATTAAGTTTGAAAATAAAGTAGTTGAACGACATCCCCTAAAAAGGAAAACCAAAGAGATATTCAACAATTTACTTCTGGAATTGAATATCCATCACGTTTCGCCTCAATCCATAAATGAATTTTCGATGGAGGTTCTTCAATTGATTCAATTAATTGAGCTTTTGACATATGCATCAACTCTTCGCCAGTATCCATATCATTATTGCGACGAACATTGTAGCAACCCAAAAACTGTAGTGATGCGTCACGGTCGTCAAATCCCAACAGCTGGACAAATTTGTTCACTGGATACTGCAAAAATACAAAAAATAAAAAAGTTAATAAATTTGTGAAAGAATTTTTTTCATAAAACTTTCCATCTAAAGATACTTAAATTAATTTAAAATAAAAACCGACCTTTCCCATTATGAATATTGAGTGTGATATAGCATACATTGCCTGATGACGCATACGATTGAAAAATCGGTGACAAAGACAACACTACAATAAAGCAATTCTTTATCGAAACATATCCATTTATAATGTGACAAATAAAATATTATCTATCAGAGATAAACTATTATTATTACTATTACTTAAAAGTTAAACCTGCAAATAAGTGGCATCATTCTTCAGCAATCGGAAAAACCGAACATAATTTTGGTTCTGTAAGCATGTAAATAGACGAATTGCTAATCGGACTGAACCTGCTTCTAGAATTTCTCTACGATATGTCAATGCTTGTCTGGAAGTTTATTTAAATTTTAAAACTTCAAATCAAGGACTTGAAGTAAAGCTAATAAAAAGCTAAAAAATTAATTTAAAAAAATAGACGAATGCATTCGTAAGTATCTCCTAGAGATATTGAAACTGCACTGCACCTAGGAAGTAACTTTGCAAATGCAGCATACTACATAAAAAAAACTATTTCTTTTAATTTCACTATTGGCTGAGATGACAGTAATTTGTATTTGTCTTTTATAAAGTGATCTAAGAGATAGGAAAAATATTCGTCTTATTTTGCCACTATTTGACACGTGGCAAGAAAACTGAAAGGCGAAAAAGCTATCGCAGTCAAAAGTTCGTCAGTCACACATAAAAAAACAAGGAAAATTGCCATTTAGAAGGAAAACCATTCCTAGCAAATGTTTTTAGAATTTCACATTACCTAAAAAATTGGAACTTCTAAAGTTACACAAAAATATTAAAATAATAAAATAATATAAAATGATTAAATACTGAAATTAAACAAATCCTTTTACCGAAATACATTGGAATCCGAGAGATTAAGCATAATTTCATAAGCACGAAATTCTGCTTCACTGGAATAATGGATCCCTTTCTTCGCCAAATCATCATACAAATAACGCAAGCTTTGCAAGCTTTTAGACAAATTCTCTAAATTGAAAAATTTGACTTCTTGATAACAATTCTTTAACATTAAGAACATTTTAACCCTGAATAACAAAAGTGAATCTTTCTATTTATTCTCTATAGGTTAAAGTTCTCTATTTTCAAAGATATAGAAATAGAATTGTAAACAGATAAATCAATGAATGACGATTATTGCAGGTCCCAAAAACTAATAAATCGATGAAAGAGAAAACACCCGTATTCATTTTTTGATCGAATTCATTGAAATTCAATTCGCAAAGACGATGAGATGCAAAGATATGCAGTCTGACACATTGTTCGATTAGAGTAACAGCAGTTTCGTTAACCATCATTTGCTGCGTTATGTCCTGAAATCGTTTCTTTTTATTTGCCATCAATACATCAACAATAAGTACTACTGTTTGAACCAAATAATTTTTGATTCATTCCCATAAAAAAATTTCTGAAACCATCAACTTTACCATGCTCAGCAGTCAAAACTTCTAATTTTTATCTCTTAGGGACTGAGAAAACCTAACAATGTTAATCCATTAGTTATGAGTCATATGACACTCATATTATATCAATCAAATACCATAAAAAGCTACCAAACAATAAACAATATTTCAAATTCAAACAATGGATAAAAGACCTTTCGGATAGCTCGTGTTCGATTCCACAGAAAATCATACCATTGTGCTAATTCCTCATCTGTTTCCGGAACATGGTTAGCAATCTGCATTTGTTAAATATAAATGCATATTTAACTGAAGGCTTCTGGAAAATTTAAAGGAAAAAAAAACATAGCTTACTTTTCCGACAAGATAATTCATAGTTCGCTGAAGGACATCTGCCGGTCTAAGCTCATGAGGCAGCGGCTCCTCCTAAAAAACCGTCATGTTTATTCAATGATCTGAGAGGTACTTGAAACTATAAATAAATTATTTTTTCAGAAGATTTTCAAGAATTTAACAAAATAATTTTTACCTGATCAGCTGCACTTCTACTGTATTCTTTCACAGTCAGTTCGGGTGCAATACTTCCATCATCATGGCATTCATAAGGACTGAGACGTTTTTGTACTACTCTCATGTAGCGTTCTTTTTCTGGGCACATATCACAGCAAGAACCCTAAAATAATTTTTTAAACATTCATCCTCAACCATGAATGTTGAAGAAAGAAGATAGAAAGAAAAGGAATCACCGTAGATGTAGGAAATAACTGACAGGCTTATATTTGTCACAAAATCAAATTTACTTTTTACTCTTAAAATTTGCTCTTAGGAAATGTTTATCTACTTGAGCTCTGAATATTCTAATAGTAGCCGTTCAGTGATACTGCAGTAAAAAATAATTTACCTTCAAAATTTTAAAAATTTCATTTTTCTCTTTAAATAAGGCACTTCCCTCTAATTATATAATATTACATAATACATAATAATCACAGTTTTATAACTATCCTTTGAATAATGAGGATAACGAATAACATAAAGAACTCTTAATCCTCCTTTGAAGAATTTATTCACCTGCATAACAGTTGCATTATCAACATCGGTACTTTTCAAACGTCCTCTATGCATCAAACGGTCACGTTCGTCTAGCAACTGATATTTATCATAGTCAGTTTCACAAACTCGTCCAATCATACGTTTCAACTGTCGTGCTAAAGAAGTTAAATTTTAATTATTGTGAACATAAAGAATTAATGAAATATGCAAGTATACAAGAATTAACAATCACACAATGTATATTTTAGAAGTGATTTCTTTGCACACGCTTAATCAGATAAATTCTAAAAAATCTACCGACTGCGCCCTTTGGTAGCAACACTTTTTCAGTCACCGATTCTACTTTTGTATTATCAATATGTCGTTCCAACTTTGGAACATTTTCTTCCTTAACAGCTGGTTCACGTGCCCACGGCCTTGATGGCTCAACCTAACAAATGGAACAAAATTAAATTAGGGCTTTGGAAACTTGTCACGATTAAATATGCAACCAGATTTACTTCAAAAAATACCTTTTCATAACGAAAAGAAAAAAGAAAAAAAAGGAAAAACGACGGAAATACATACTGTACGCATTACGCTAGTGAATCTGTTATCGACACCACTGTGTAAGGTACCACGAAGTGATGCGTTTAAACGCTTCCCAAGTTGTACACTTGCAAAAAGCGATGGTTTTACACTTGCTGAAGGCAGATCTTGTGAAATATTTTGGGCATGTTGTGTTGATGACATCCTCTTTCGGACTACACGTGCGGCACGTGCTACGGAATTCCGGCCACTTGCAAGCCTTACATCGACTGAACGCTTGAATGGTGAAGATGGACATGTTGAGGATGAAGACGGACCTCAAATTTAATCAAAAAGTTAATACGGGGAAAATGGTAAAACCAAGATATTACTAAGTGGTTAGCTCCACAGTCATCTAAGCTCATTCACTAACAAATACCATGCTAAATTTTTTTTTAGAATCGCGTCATAGCTAGCACCACTTTTTTGAAAATGGAAGGAAAAAGACATGACTTAAAACCGAATGAATTTAGTAATTAACCAAGTGGATCATCCAAATCGTTGTATCCTTTACGTCTTGGTAGAGTGTAGGGTTTCCGTGTGATACCGGACAATTTCGATGATGGGTTTGATGCTTTTTTTGGTCGTAAACTGGAATATGTGATAACATTTTTCCGAATAATAAAATTTAATAACAAGCAGTTAAGTCTTCCTTCAAGAGAAAAAAAAATCACTTACCAAGCTTGGGGAATTAGGACCAAATTTATTACCAGGTAAAAATAGACAATTTATTCTTTCGGTTTTCAAAAAATCAAAATTGGATTGAAGCTAACGATAACAAAAGACCTAACTGCTTTTGTAACAGTTTTACAACTTTGCAACATTTAATTTATACTATTTAGCTTTCTTTCTATTGCTACAATAAAAATTACTGACTCTAACCTTTCTGGAATTATAAACGGAAATGATCCAGAAGACATTTTTCCTCATTCACCAAAGAAATTTCGTTTACTTCTTTTACTCAAAATTCACGTTGCTTTTAGCATATATTGTATGAAATATTACAGCTTGAAGGAAAATTTGACTATTTTTCTGAAAATAACAAAAATTGATATATTCAAAAATCTATCACTTATTATCACATTTTATTCCATTCGATAAATACTGCAATTTACAGTATTTTATTGCACTGTCATTTTACAAAGATGGAATAAACAATACATAGTTCACATAAAAATAATAAAAGAGATGTATAGATGTCATGCAAAGCGCCGAACGTCCATTAAAAAAAGAGCACCAAAAAACAGAAAGAAAATAAATACATAAAAGTAAAGGAACAAGCACCAAAGTGAAACAACGAAACGGACGTGAACATTTTCACGTTACCAACTTTTACGTCATGCAACGAATGACCGCAAACTGTTGGGATGTCAAATTTGCACAGTATTAAAGAGACAATAAATTTTGGCAAAAGAAAAATTGTGTGGGCATGTTTACCTTTTGCATGCAGCGTTGTTACGTTGCATGCATGTATGCATGCATGATATAATGTCAGTAATGTTTGAAAATATGTCATAAATAATATCGATAGTTGTAGTTAATTTAAAAATAATTTGTTAAGAGAAATTATTTTTAGTCATTACTTTCATTGATAAATCTTGATCAGTGAATAATTTTTGTTGACGAACTTTTATCAATAGCCTTTATCAGGATTATAAAATAAAATTTATCCCTGCTACTATCATCACTGCTTTAATAAATTGTTATCACAGCTTGCTATTTCATTCCAATCGATCCATATAGCATTATTACACCTGAATATACAAATAGTCTGGTGAATTTTCTATTAATGAACTGTCCGAAATGCTTCTTTACTTCCTATTGTCATTTTTTTTTCTTCCTTTCTTGTTTATGAAATTCTGCAAATTTTTATTCATTTTTTATGTTAATTATTTCTAACTAATTTGACATTATCAGAAATTTCCACAAATTTTTGACAATACAAAGCGAAGTAAAAATCATTGATTCTTTAATTTTCCACTTTTTTTTTTCAAATACAGAAGAAAAAATACGATAAATTTATTTATATTGTCATTAGAAAAGACAGAGTAGTGTAACTTGAAACGATAATGTCTTATTTAACGACTAAAAAAGTGACGAAGTAATTGATGAAAGTACTTTTTTGCATCACTAATTTTAAAATATTCATCGGTATAATAGATATGTTTCAAAAATTTTGAAATTTTTCTTTTTAGTGAAAATTTAATATTTTAAATATTTTTAGATGCATTTGATAGTAGCAACTGTATGGTTTACAATTTCACTAACGTTATGCTCGAGTTTCACGCAATATATTATGTCTGGTGGTCAAACATATGGTTTTATAACAGAACTTTTTTTTGATGTTTTCTCCTCGAAAGAATTACATTGTTTCTACGAAGATTTCCTATTATACAGCGATATAAGTATTTCTACTCGGGTAAATTTTAATTGAAACATGAGTAAAACAAGTACACAAATAACACAAAAAAGTTAGGTTAAAGAATCAATGTGAAAAGTTTTGTAATATTATTTTTTTTACTACTTTTCCAAATATATCAATAATAATAATAATAATTAATCAAACTGATATAGACAAACACTGTCTTATTGATACCTTAGCCTACACAGTTGTTGTTTTATCATTTCAGTTTTTTTTTTTTTTTTTTTTGTTTTCTTAAACCATAAAAGTTTTTATTAATTTTTAAAGTTTAAATTCAGTACTGTAAAAGAATAGAAGAAGAATTTTGAATTGTTTGCAAAGTTGACACAAAAAGTGTTATTTTTCTTATCATTGTTAAATTTTCCTTTCTGAATTAACTTTTGAATTAACAAGAAAAGAAAAAGAAAAGCATTTGTAGGTTGTTGATACTGAATCGCAATTGTTACATATGCGAATTAGATCACCGAGCAAAAATATTAGTAAATGGTATGAAGGAATCGATCAAGCGGAATTCAGTGGAATGCTACGAGAAGGAGGTCAATGATTTTAGAATTTAAGAGATGAATCATAGAAATAATTCTGGCTTATAGAATGCAAATTATGATCGAATTAGAACATTCTTATCTTTGACATTCTTATCTTATATTGTTATTTTAAAAATGAAAAAAAAAAAATGGAATCATTTAAGGTACGTATGAAATTTGTACAAAAGTAGACGTAACAGGTACGCGACACGTACGTTTAATGCTAGTTATCTATGCTCATCATCGAGGAACAAAAAATAAAGCTAATAAACTTAAAAAAGAACATCATGAAACAACAGAAAAAATGAACGTAAGATATTTATTCATTAAAAATAAGAAAAAAAATGAAAATTTTGTAATATTCATAATTAAAAAAAGAAAGAAAAGAAATAATTAAGGTCTTTAGTATTGTATAGTGTCATATATACAATATAGTCAAATAGAAAGTTACTAAAAATTTTTTCCTTCTAAATTTAAAATTAAAATGAAAAATTATTGCAGGAATCGATAAGCAATTTGAGGGAAATGATAGCTTCATCTGCATTTGCATTAAAGCAACTGAAATCAACACGTGATATACATTTGCAAATTAAAAATGCCAATAATATTGATATGTTTTCATTAATACAAACAATTATTATTCTATGCACAGCGATTGTGCAAGTTTTTATTATTCGAAAATTTTTCTCTAACACTTCTAAAATTGTTAGATAATAAAGTAAAGAAGAAAAAAAAATGTAGGCAATTTATATAATTTACAGTCTCCTAAAATAATAATAAAAGATACAATGTATCGTCCTTGCTTTTCTGAGTAATTAAACAAATCAATTTCATTGTTTTAAATTTCTTAGCATTTTTTTTTTTGTTTTTTTGAAAAGTATGATTAAGAGATTTATAAAAGATAAAGAGGTTTAAGAGATTTATAAAAGATAAAGATTTATAAAAAGATAAGGAGAATAAGGAGTACGAATGAAATTTGAAGACTTAGATACATATTTTTTGCTTCTATTTCTGTGATGGAAATTATTAATTAATTTGTTATTATCATTATCATCATTATTGTTATTAATATTATTATTGCCATTATTATCATTATTAATTATTATTATTAATAATTGCTATATAATTCGCAATGTTTGCTTAAAATTCTTTCATATATTTCAGCCAAAAATTATCCAAAAAAAAAAAGAAATATATTGCATAAAATGATTATATAGAATTCATCAAAAAAATCTATAAATCAAAAAATTGCATACATTTTCCTTTTCATAATAATGCATTAATTCAGTTTTGGTTCAATATATGAATTAAAGGTTATGTAAAAAGAAAAAAGAAGCATAACGATATCATAAAATACAGAAATTCTTTTATAAGTTTTTTATTTTTATAAAAAAAGAAAAAATCAATACGAATAAAAGGGATTTGTGTTGTTTCTTGCATTTTGTTAAGATAAGATGATATTAATGATGCTTGAAGCTATCATTATTTTCATGCACTTTGTTTTCAAAGTAAACATCTAAAATATATGCTTCCAAATTTTTTTTTTAAAAAAGTAATTTTCCTTTTTTTTCTCCTCAAGAATATATTTTGTTATCCTTCGTTTTGCTTTTATTCTTTATACATATATAAGTATACGAATGTTTATATTATTTTTCAATTCAAAATAAAGATTGTATTCTGGCAAAAAAAGATACATTTTACAAGAAAAAGAAATATTAGCATATATTTTATAAATATAAATTATAAAATTGAAAAATTATTTTTGCTTAATTAATTTTGTATAAAATCGACTCTAACAATAAAATAATTATAGATCATTCCTTTAATTAAGCTATATGATTAACGTAGCGATAAGTTAAATTATATAATGCTTTTTGAAGCATTATATGTAGAATTTTTTTTTCTGTTGAAAAAAGGGGAAAAGACAAAGTATTTTGTTAATTTGATAGTTGAAGTAATTAATTGTAGTTGATAAATGTTTCCAAATTAATTATTGAAGGGTACTTTAAACTTTATACTTAATCATATGTACGGAATATAATTTAATAAAATTTCCATCTCCATTTTTCATTTTAGTATGTTTTACTATTTATGTTCACATAAATATTATCAACGATGAAAAGTTATGTCTTATTATTTAGTATTATCAGTATGATATCATCACGTGCTACTTACATTACAAAAAAATGTAGAATTACATAGCAACGCTATAATTTTAATTTTTAATAAAATTATAAGATAGCATAAATAAAGCTAAGTGTTTTGTAGGAATTGTTATCCACAAAAAAAAGAAAAAAAATATTCCGTAATATTTGACATTAATAAAGTAGATGAAACACATTTCAAATAATTTTATTGAATAAATAAATGCATTATGACTTACCTTGGAAGTAATCCAAAAAATACATTTAATAAATTTTACTCGAATTGCAGGCAAAATAAGCAAAAATTATTGATATAAAGTTATAGGAAAACATCCAAGAAATTTTCCAAATTTTTTCATTTTTCATTTTTTTTGTTAAATTCTACAAAAATAAACTTTGGTTATTTGAAATTGTTAGAAGAATGATAGTAAAGGAAATAAGTGATAAGTGCTAATTATAATTTTTATTACAATTTTAATCTTTTTGCTCATACACCAAAAATGTTACTTTTAATCAAAGTACAAATTGCTAATTAATCGTAATCCAATGAATTTAACAAATTACGAATCAAATTTTGTTTTCTTCATTTAATCATATTTGTTTGGTTAAAGATTATTGTGTGAATAAAAAATTTCGAACTTGGTTAAAAATTTAAATTTCCCAGTCACTGAATTATGAATCAAATTGAATTAAAAGTATATTAGTTGAACTGAAAATTTAATTTGTATTTGTTACTTTTTTTTCGAATTTTACAATGCTGCATTGTTTCTTTAACGCAAACGAAGCATTAATTTAAAGATTTAGTTTGATGTTATTATCACTTATATTAA